TGTCACTGGGCTGGGTATGGACATCAGGGGGCATGGCTGAGGCCCTTAGCCCCCTACCATCTTGACTCAAGAGCCTGGGGTGCTTCCAGTGGTGGCTTAGTGATCATTTCTGGGCTGGGTGAAGATATTGGGGAGGGGGTATGGCTGAGGCCCTTGGTCCCTTACCACCCTGGCTTGGGAGCCCTGGGTTGCTTCTGGTGTTGGCTTGGTGGTCATCATTGGGCTGGGTGTGGCCAACTCCAAGGTCCCCCACTACACCAGCTCAGGTGACATCTCACTGGTCATTGCTGGGCTGGGTGCAGACATCGGGGGTGTGTGGATGAGGCCCTCAGCCCCCCCACCCTGTCTCGGGAGCCTGGAGTCTGACTCAAGAGCCTGGGGTGCTTCCAGTGGTGGCTTAGTGATCATTTCTGGGCTGGGTGAAGATATTGGGGCTATGGCTGAGGCCCTTGGTCCCTTACCACCCTGGCTTGGGAGCCTGGGTTGCTTCTGGTGTTGGCTTGGTGGTCATCATTGGGCTGGGTGTGGTTGTCAGGAGTGGGTGTGACCAACTCCAAGGTCCCCCACTACACCAGCTCAGGTGACATCTTGCTGGTCGTTGCTGGGCTGGGTGCAGACATCGGGGGTGTGTGGCTGAGGCCCTCAGCCCCCCCACCCTGTCTCGGGAGCCTGGAGTGCTTCTGGCAGTGGCCTGGTGGCCATCAGTGGGCTTGGATGCAGTTGTCAGGGTGGTGTGGCTGCCGCTCTTGGTCCCCACCTCACCCCAGCTTAGGAGCCTGGGGGACTTCTGGTTCTTTAGGTTTCGTAGGTGTTCTTTGGTGCTGTTAGACCTTTACAAGTTAATATCAGAACTTTGTCTCTGATCTGTGGGTATTTGGGGGTTTCTTTTCAGTTCTCTTTTAGATTATTCACTGTTCTGCACTGGAGCTAATTTGTTATCCTTTGCTTACTCCTAAAATGGGGGAACTTCCTGTGAGAACCAGCTCTTGAGCCCTGTGGTTGAGCTAAATTGCTGTTTTTCTGCTGATTTCCCGGGGAAGGATTTTGTGCAGCTCAGGTTTTAATTG